CGGGGCTCAAGAGCGAGCAGCAGCGGCTGTGGCACCTCTTCCAGATCTCGGCCACCGCCGTGGCCCAGCTCTACAAGGATTCCGGGTGCCAACAGCCAGGACTGTCTATGTGGGACCCCTTCCAGCATGCGGCCATGGCCGTGACCAGCCTGTACAAAGAGAGCGGGGATGCCTACCAACGAAGTTTTGACCTGGGCGTCCAGGTTGGCTACCAGCGTCGCATCAAAGATGTGCTCGAGTGGGTGAAAAAGGGCCGGAGCACCATTCGTCGCGAAGACCTGATCAGCTTCCTGTGTGGCAAAGTGCCCCCAGCCCCTCCCCCGCCGCGCACCCCCNGGTGGACGTCGACCTGCAGCCATTCCACGAGGCCATCGCCCTGCACGGCCTCAGTGGTGCCATGGCCAGTATCAGCGTGCGATCTGGCGCGCCCGGCTCCCCGCCTCAAGACAGCGGTGTCGCCAGCAGCGGACGCCGAAAAAGTAGCTTTCTCGAGGACGACTTGAACCCTTTCGGCTCAGAAGAACGGGCCCTCCGCCTGGACGGTGGGGGGATCCGCAAGCGCACCTCGGCCCAGTGCGGTGACAGCATCACAGACTCCCCAACCCACAAGCGCAACCGAATGGTCTAAACTGCCTCGTGGGTCGCCAACCACCATATTGCTTGTCGAAAGGATACAGGAGATCGGCTTGCTTTCTTCTCTAAGTTAAACAAAGATTTCTATCATGTTTGCCATTAAGAAACTTTAAAAGTACTTCGGGAGAGGCCTCGTAGAAATTTCAGAAATATAATCCTAGCCGAGAACATCAACCATGTAGTAGTTAGCAAGATCATTTAAAGCAAAAGTATCCGGTCAAGGCGAGAGCCTGGTTTATCTTGTCCACAGTTACATTCTTCAGCACCTAGCACAGTTGCTGTTGCTCAATAAATGTTTGTTGAATGAATAAATGTGACCTTATTGAAAATTCTTAAAGGGTAAGGATATATCAGGTGTTTACTTGGTTATAGGAAACTCATCCTTGTTTGGTTGGTTGTTGGCTTTAACGGTCCTTGCCAATTCAATGACATTGCATCAAAGTGTGTTACACTTGCCATCTTTGTGAAATCAGAAGTCTCCCATTTTTACCCCACTGTACCATGCACCTAATTTCTAGAAAGAAACTGGCAAGTAGTACACATTAGGCTGTGCTTTTATTTTGAAAATAGTTGATGATTTTGGTGAATATGTGATGGCGTAAAGAGGTGCTATGATGGTCGAGCAGGTAATACTTGATATTGGGTCAATTCGATGCTCTTTTTAGGAAAGCTAAACCAACAATTGAGATCCTGATAAAATAAGATGGTGTCCCTGGTGGCTCAGTGGTGCTCCTTTTTCTTGGGAATGCAAAAAGTTCATATTTTTCTGAGATTACATCTTTTGGGTGATCTATGTTTTGAAGTGGAAGACCAAGTAGTCAGGATGAACTTATGGGTTTTATTTAAGGGTCCAGCACTGTATAACTAAAAGAGCATGAGCTTTGTGTTAAAAGGACCAACAGTAGAATCCTAGCTCCACAAATGAACTGCATGATTTTGGGCAAGTCAATGTCTATTGACCTCAGTTTTTCATCTGTCAAATGGAAGTATGTGTCTAAGGTCGTTGTGAGGGTCAGATGAAGTCCGTATTTCAAATGTCTAGCACAATGCTTGGCACCTAGAGGCACTTAATAAATATTCTCCCTTTTCTATAAATAAAAATCAGTAAAATATTAAAATCCATTATATTTTAGAAAAAGCAAAATAGATCAATTTAAAAATCACCAAGTAGAATCTGTGTTTGAGTTGAAAACTACTAGTATATAGTCAAAACTTGCCTAAATATCACTTGCCTTGTATTATCTGTAAGTGTGTTGAGCTCATGAGTACTTAGGATCACCTAGGGATACTAGGGCAGCCTTGGAGTCCCTGAAATCGTCTGAGGGATGCACTTTGCAACCAAGAGTAATGAAAGCTTTATCTCTTCTGGCCTGAAAGAATATGGGGAGGGGGGTAAGGATGGAAAGAATTAGAACTGAAGGTCCTAGGGCACCTGAAAGGCTAAAGTGGTTTTGAATAGGCTGGGATGGAGAGGAAGTGATGAAGGAGGTAGAGTGGGGTAGGTGGGGCAGGAGGAGGTGAGAGTGAGGTTATGGAAGGAGTGTGTGTGTGTGTGTGTGGGGGGGGGGGGGTTAAAAAGCCTGAATCTCCCCAGGCCTCCTAAAAC